AGGAAGAAGAAGGAGGGAGAAGAAGAAGAGGGAGGAAGAAGAAGAAGAAGAAGAAAGAGGAGGAAGAAAAAGAAGGAGGGGGAGGAGAAAGTAGGAGGAAGAAGGAGGAGGAAGAAGAAAAAGAAAAAGTAGGAGGTTGAAGGAGAAGGAATGAGGAAGGAGAAGGAAGTGGGAAGGAGAAGGAAGTAGGAAGGAGAAGGAAGAATCGATGGCTTGTGAGAAGCGCTATACAACGAACTAGACCTGTAAGCAAAGGTCCTAGTCTTGCCAGCACTTTATACATCCGAGACTCAATTTTTTGTTTTAGCTGGTTCATATGAAGGCAATTCCAATTTTAAAAAAGGGGGGAAAGGCGGAACCCCCCCCCAAAAAAAAAAAAAACAACAACAAAAAAACAACAACAACAACAACAAGACAACAACAATATTTTTAAAAATCTTTAAAAATCAATTAATTAAAAAATCCAAACATTCAAACTGTTACGACACACGTACAGAGTAGAGGCTAATGGGCGGGGGGAAAATCTAGGAAAAGAGCAAAAGTTAACATATTTGTGCTAGATCTATTTTCTTTGCACATGTATGTATTTTCCCTTTCTGTCTTTTTTCCTGCCTCTAAAATAGCCTAATAGTATTGCAAGGGGCTTTAAATTAAACCCATACACTCACTTTTTTGTCTTTTAAACATTTTTTTCTTCTTTTTTGGGGGATCCTTTTAGCCTCTTCTCTGTGTGTATTAATGATGCAATGATGTGCGCCAGGTACGCTGGTATGATGATTACCTGTACAGCCCCCTTCAGACGGCCCTGTGGCCAGTGGTGGAACTCGTGCCTCGCACTCTGGACGTGGATGGATATCGAATCAACATCTTCACTGCTAACATCGTCTCGTGGTCTAGAACACTGCTCGTCGTGCCCATAGCGATGTCTCTCAAGTGAGTTATCATTCTTGCACCCCATCTCGGAATATAAAAACATAATGTTTTTGATTTTACACCTCCATCGAAACAATTTAGATTATTTAAGAGGAGGGCTTCCGACCCTGCCTGTCAGGGCCAACCCGGGCTAACTGTTACAGGGATACAATCTCCTAACAGAGAGACTGAGATACTCGACTCGGAAATAGAATTCGGGTTTCCAGCACGTGAAAGCGAAGCGTCTAACGGCTACACCACAGACCCCGTTCCCCGTTTCCCAAAAAGATAATATTATTGTAATCAATTCACATGTCGAGGGCTTTGACCCTACCTTTTGTTGCTGACATCCCAGCCGAAAGATATAGTTACTCGATATGTTAATGTCCTCACTCAGGAACTGAACTCACTTCTTTTACGTGCACTACAACGAAGAGCCTAACCACCATAATGCAAACGCCAGTTCTTGAACAAGTGAATTGTTGTATTAAACTGAACATGCCAGGCATTTAACGATCGGGCGCAATCTCGGTTGCTCTCCGCATTTTAATGATCGTAAAATTGCGTGGCAATTATATGTATCATTCTTGTGAGCTCTTCAGTTTCATATTTTAATTTTAATTTTAATATTAATTTTAATTTTCATATTTTTACACTTTTGAAAATAAATCATGTTAATGTTCCTTGATGTGAGTAAAAGAATAAAGATGGAAGTGGATTTTAAAAAATTATTATTTCAAAAATATAAAATAATTAACGCAATCTTAAGATTGCGCTCAATTATACGATCGTTAAAACGCGCAGCACTAGCTGATCGGTAAATAGCGTGGACCACCTACACATCAAGGCGTTTGTCTGTTTTTTAGCCACAATATTGCAAGAAGGGCGTTTTTCCTTTTCCTTTTTATTGTATAATGTGCCCAAGTAAAACATTTTCGACCACTGTCAACCAAGCCCCAACCAAGACGATGATGATGATAATATATCAAGTTCTGAAAAAAAGAGCAGTCACTGTATAAAACAGACAGTCACGGTAGCTGCTGAAAACACACACAAAATCTATTGTTTAGGGAAGACGTACACAAAATACAGTTTTGAATAAGTGTGCGTTTATACTAGCATTCCTCTTAAAACAATAGACGGTCATGGCAAAAAGGGTGGGCCTTTTACACCGATATATCCTAGTTGTAGTAGTAGCAGCAGCAGCAGCAGCAGCAGCAGC